GTTATGTTGTGTGTGTGTGTGTGTGTGTGTGTGTGTGTGTGTGTGTGTACTTGTTACACTTAACTGTTTCATTCATTTGGAATTTATTTTAGTATATGACATGAATTGAGTCTTTAAGATGACCATTTTCCCCCAGTAATTGATTGAAATTTATAGTTGTATCCATGGAAACAAGACCTTCAATTTTGTCATCTGCTGGTTTCACAGCTTTCAAAATGGACTTTAATATTTTTCTCTCATCCTGGAAATTTCTCTACAAGGGAGCTTCCTAGCTTCCCTGGATTCCATGCACCCAATGTTGGTGCCGCTGGTGCAAGGACAGCAATCACACTGACCCCGCACTGACCCCACAGTGAACCTGCACCAAGCACCCCCACCCATGCCAGACTCCAGACAGGGTTTTCCAGAGAGGGTCCCATTCAGTTGTCACAGCCTAATGCTGCCCCCATCCTAAAGAGGGGGAGACGGAGCCTTCAGAGAGTTGGGGCCTTGTATGAAATCACACAGGTAGCAAGTGGCACAGCCCAGACTTAAGCCCAGACATCCTGCCCCGAAATCCCAGAGCATGGCTTTGGATCACACAAACTAGGCCTTGTTCCCTGCCTCTGCCACGTGCCAGCTGTGTGCACTGGGGAATGCTGACTCGACTTTCTGGTTCCATGTCCTCATGTGATAATAGTACCTGCCCAGCAGGACTGTGGCAAGGACTACGAGATTGTTTCTGTAGAGGGAGCACACGCAGGAGAAGCTCAGGAAGTGGTCCCCTCTGCTGCTTTGATCCCTTTTATAAATTTCTCCTCCTCCTCCTCCTCCTCTCCTCCTCATCATTTTAGGTTTTGCAGGACATAGAGTCTCCATCACAACTGTTCAACTGGGACAATCTAAACAACATAATAAAGTGTTATTGGGATTATAACCCAAAGTATGAGTGAAATATCCATGAGTCCATATTGATATAAATAAATTATTGAATCATTTAATAAATGTGGGAGAAGAGACCAATCTATTATGCAGAAAATTTTCAAATAATTTCAGGTTCTCCACCTTCAAGGAAGTAGGCGTAACTCCCACTCCTTAAGCAGGGGGCTATGTACAGTGACTTCCTACCAGAGGACAGTGTGGAGGGGGTGGGAAGGAGGGGGGCAGTGGTCTTAGAACGGAAAACCTGGAAGATACCACGTAAGCCAGGTGATCCAGGTTAGCAGGTTGATAGTCTGCCCTCTTGATACGACATGATAAAAATGGCACTTTACCTCTGTGGTCTTCCTCTCAGTGACCCAGGACCCCAGTCTAGTCATTACCGGATAGAGCTGTGTGTCAGTATAATCAGTTTCCTTTATAAATCTGTTTATTTTCTTTTTATTCATTTGAAAACATTATTTGGAAAAGACATCCCTAGGCTTTGCCAGACTGACAGAGGTCTCTGAGGCACAGACATTGTTAAGAGCCACTGATGGGTATGACAGATGATTAGAATTGCTAATTCCTGTGCCCCATTCCAGCTCATCTCCTTGTGACCCACAGCCATGTTCCCTTCCAGTTCAGTGCCTTGGCTTATGCTGTTCTCTTTTCCAGGAAGAGAGGTTCCTTTTATGCTCTGACTCAACAGAAATCTTTTGAGCTTAGGTTTGCCCTGGATTCTGCAGGCTCTTTGACCATTCCATACCCTATAGCCTCTTTGGGAACAGAAGGTGGGCGGTGGGTAGGATGCAGATGACAGGTGAGTGGTGGGAGAACCTTCCAGAACAATGGGGTTCTAGTCTTGGACGTACCCAGTGCTGCACTGGTAACGCTTAACCAAGGCTCTCTGGGGAAAATGTATGCATATATCATTTCATTGATATGAGGTTGTGTACATACAGTTTACTACTAATAATAAAATATACGCTCCTCTTTGTTGCCAATCTCACCTAGCCATCGATGCTCACAGAACACTTTCCTTGATTGTTACTGAGCTCTTCTGTCTGTTGTCTGGATGATAAGGGGTTGCATCTGATGAGTGAGTGTAGTTCTCATATGGACGTAGATTGTTACCTTCATGTGCCTTAATAAGACGAAAGTGAGACAACCAAAGAATACTGCAGCTTCACTCAGCCATCAATTTTAAAAGTCAGACACCCTTTGCTGAATGAGATTACAGTTTTGGGGCTGGAAGAATATTTCCTCAACTTCTTGTGCTAGTCACAATGTAGCTGATATAGACACGGCACACTTTTATGTTTATCTGCATTGTTATTTTCCTATCACTTAAGTCTAGACAGTTCAATCAGAACAATATCCGAAGCCCTGACTTACAGCATTTGCTAATTTCTGTAGCCAACTTCAGGCTCCTACCTGAGTGAACACAGTTGGAAGGTACATACAGTAACCCACCATCACATGGCACTTTCAACATAGAGAAACGATGAACATGCATAATGTCAAGCGCATAGATAATAGTAAAATCCAGTGAAAACAGCTAAGAAGTGATGAGATTTTTAGTATTGATGACTTTCATTTTTAATATAACTGATTTAATTATAAATTTATAAAATTTAGCATTCAAAAATGATGATTTAACAGCCAGCTTGCAAAATTCCTGAAAATGCATCAATTAGATCTCATGCCTTATGGGCTGGCTCCAGCTCACCCCTGAATTGGCCCTTCATTTGCTAAGTGACCTGGGCTGAATCTCTGAACTCCCTGGAGCTCAGGATCTCTACTGTAAAGGATAACTGTGTCCCAGCTCTCCAAGGTGTGATTCCTGGCACCAGGAGCCCCATGCATGCTTTCCTTCTCCAAGTCCCTTTTAGCTCTTCCCACCCAAACCCACAACATAGCACTTTCATAGGTTATTGGCCATTGTTCTAGCCTATGTCATGCATCACTCTTATCCTGCCAACAGTTTTTCTCTAGGGATTTTAAAGAATAGGAGTTAAGTCTCGACATTGTTCTGTATTTTCTCTGACCACACCCTTCAGGATGCTGGACCAGGGCTGAGAACTTGGTTGGTGCTCAATAGACAGGCATTTGTTGGCTTGCTAATCTGCAGACTTTAGGGAAGAACATTCTGACAGTAAGATACAATATCACAGTGAGTGTCTGGGTCAGCAGATAAATTTTTTTTGGAGGTCTCTAGCAATGGAACAGAGTTTTCAGGGCTGATGTTGGATTTTCTTGAAATCAGAGCACTCAGACTCTCTTCACAGCTTTTGGCTTGCTCCAAATATTTTCTTATTCTATAGTGTTTGTTCTCCCACTAACAAAGAAGATTCAGAAAAAGTTTACTTTCTGTAGTTTGGGTGATTTTTTTTTTAAGGTTTACTGAATATGCATTTTTTCAAGCTAACTTACATCTCCCATTGGATTCTGGGAAATGGTGTGGCATGAGCACCATCTTTCCTCCCCGGGGCAGTGAATCACATTGACAAATGTTCCCGCCAAATCTGATTCTTGTGTTCTGCATGTATTTCTATGAGCCTTTGGTAAGACACCATTGAAGATATTGGGATAATTCCCCAGTTCTAATATTTTCCACCAGCTTTGTAACCTTTATGATCTCAAACCTTTCTGCTTGTATTTTCAGAACCCGCCTCCTCTGTTGAATGAAGTCAGCGCTACAATAATCCAGGCTGAAAAGGTGACCCGCCTGCGGGATGAGCTGCAGATAAAGCATGAAGAGGACTACAAGACCGCCCTGGACACCATCAAGAGCCAGCTGCAATTAATAGAAGGTGCAGACATCAAGGAGAACCTCCGAGACCAGATCCGGCACTGGATCATCGAATGCAGGTGAGCGCAAGTGGCGTAGAGACCACGCCTGACTGTCTCTTGTATGTTTTCAGCACAGGAGCATGTTGATGTAGATTCACGAGGGTTTTCGGCTTCATTGTAGAAAAGTGAAATGTCAAGGTTACGAATTCAGGAACTAATTTTTTGTAATGCAATTGCTGCTGTCTTTTTCTTTAAAGACAGTTTCTATAATGCTTCCCTGACCCCGTGGACTTGAACATCATGCGCCCCACCCCCATTCCTCCTCCAGGCAGTGTGGACCCTTGCTTTGGGAGAAATAGCTGAGTGACCTGTGTGGTTAACTTCTCTGTGGGTCAGTTTCCTCATCTGGAACAGAAGGGCAAGACTCGTACCACATCATGAGGTTGTTAGGAAATGCAGAGCACTTAGACCTCTCTGTGTAGATCATTGTTATTCTATTGTATTGTGACCACCTGCTTATTCACACATCTGGCCTGAGAACGGAATGGTACATACAAGTCAGGTATTTGCAGTGAATGGTGTGGGCTACGGTGTCACAGTCTTTCATTCTTATCGAATTACATAATTGTGTCCGGAGGAAATAATCTTAGGATGACTTGTGGGATCATGGAAATTTAGGGAGAAAGGCATTGTTTCAAATGAATTGTCTTCCGATTAAATCTTGTGGGATTATCATTAAAACCCTCATTTTTATAGTTAATGAGGATGACATGCCCAATGTTCATGAACCTCTGCCATCAGGAACTCTCCTCCCTTCTCTTGGGACTTCAGAGAATAGGTGTCCACAGAAATGTTTTCTATCAATGACATGATGCTTTACTTTTATATAGACATTTTTTAAATTTATCTTTATTGTTGAAAGTATTACAGATGTCCTCCTTTTCTGCCCCATTGACCCTCCTCCTTCCCACTTCCTTCTCCTCCCTAGGCCTTCATCCCACTATTGTCTGTGTCCATGGTTTATTCATTTATGCATATAAGTTCTTTGGTTGATCTCTTCCCTCCTCCTCCCCATTCCCTCTGAGGATCCTCAGTCTATTGCACGCTTCCATGTCTCTAGATCTATTTTGTTGGTCAGTTTATTTTGTTCATTGGATTCCACATATACATGAGATCATGTGATACTTGTCTTTCTCTGAGTGACTTATTTCACTTAGCAAGATACTCTCCAGGTCCCTTCAGGCTGTCTCAAAGGGTAAAAGATCCTTCTCTCTCTTTTTTTAATAGTAGTGTAGTATTCCATTGTGTAAATGTACCACAGTTTGTTTTTTTTATCCACTCATCTACTGATGGGCACTTGGGCTGTTTCCAGATCTTAGCTATTGTAAATAACGCTGCTATAAATATAGGGGTTCATATATATTCTTTCTGATTGGTTGCTTCAGGCTTCTTAGGATATATTCTTAGAAGTGGGATCACTGGATCAAATGGCAGTTTCATTTTTAATTTTTTAAGGAAACTTCACACTGTTTTCCATAATGGCTGTACTAGTCTGCAACCAGCAGTGTACTAGGGTTCCTTTCTTTCACATCCTTGCCAGCACTTGTTTGTTGATTTATTGATGGTATCCATTCTGGCAGGTGTGAGGTGGTATCTCATTGTCACTTTAATTTGCATCTCTCTGATGATTTGAGCATTTTTTCATATGTCTCTTGGCCTTTTGTATGTCCTCTTTGGAGAAGTGTCTAGTTATGTCTTCTGCCCATTTGATTGGGTTGTTTGTCTTCCTTTTGTTAACTTGTATGAGTTGTATGAGTACTTCATGTATTTTGGATATTAACCCTTTATCAGATGTATCACAACCAGCATCATATTCAATGGGTAAAAACTAAAGCCATTTCCCCTAAATACAGGAACAAGACAGGGTTGCCTGCTTTTACCACTTTTATCCAACATAGTACTGGAAGTTCTAGCCACAGTGACCAGACAAGAAGAAAAAATAAAAGGCATCCAAATCGGAAAGGAGGATATAAAAATATCATTATTCACAGATGACATGATATTCTACACACAAAACCCTAACGACTCCACCAAAAAAACTACTAGATTTAATAAATTAAATTTTGGTAATGTAGCAGGATACAAAATAACACCTAGAAATCATTGGCATTTTTATACACCCATAATGAACTCTCAGAAAGAGAAACCAAAAATAAACAATGCCATTTACCATTGCAACAAAAAACTAAGATACTTAGGAATAAATAAACTTAACCAAGAAGGTAAAAGACTTATATTCAGAAAACTATAGAATGTTGAAAAAAAGAGATAAAAGAAGATATAAACAAGTGGAAGAATATACCATGTTCATGGATTGGTAGAATCAGCATCATTAAAATGTCCATACTACCCAAAGCAATCTAGAGATTCAGTGCAATCCCTATTAAAATACCAATGGCATATTTCACAGATCTAGAACAAACACTCCAAAAATTTATATGGAACCCAAAAAGAGCCTGGATAGCCTGCAGCAATCTTGAGAAAGAAGAACAAAGTTGGAGGAATCACAATACCAGATATCAAGCTATTAAAACAGCCAGTACTGGCATAAGAACAGGCATTTAGATCAATGGAACAGAACAGAGAACCCAGAAATCCACCCAATCCATTATGCTCAATTAATCTTTGATAAAGGAGGCAAGAGCATACAATGGAGTAAGGACAGTTTCCCAGGTGTTGGGGTAATTGGACAGGTACATGTGAAAAAATGAAACTAGATCACCAACTTACACCATACACAAGAATAAACTAAAAATTAATAAAAGATTTAAATGTAATTCATGAAACCATGAAAAGCCTTGAAGAAAACATAGGCAGCAAAATATCAGACATCTCATGTAGTAAAATATTTGCTGATACAACACGTAGGGCAAAAGAAACAAAGGAAAAAACAAACAAATGAGACTACATTAAAATAAAAAGTTTCTGCACAGCAAAAGAAACCCACATCAAGATGAAAATGGAACCCACTGTATGGGAGAACATATTTACCAATGATATATAGACATTTTAAAATCAAATTTATTTTTATTTGACAAAACAAAGTAGAAAGCACTATGTACAATTATAAGCTAAAATATATAATATATACACACATACATATACACTGAGTGGCCAGATTATTATGACCACCTGACATTTGTAGGCAAATTAGCTATACTTTCACACTGAAGTTACTAGAGGGACAGACCATTATAAATAGAGAAGCAGGTTGTTTACCACGACAGTAGAAGTGATTTTTTTCTGAAGATATGGGTAAACAACGCAATTTAACAGCCTTTGAATGTGGGATGGAGATATATATACT